TCTGCTTCAAGTTCATGCTTGAGTTCCTGTTCTGACTTCCCTCATTGATAGACTGTAACCTATAAGGTAAATAAACTCTTCCCTCCTAGAAGCTGCTTTTGGACAGTGTTTTATCACAGCAACAGAGGTGAAATTAGAGTAGAGATAGATACTAGAGCAATGTGATGGACCTGAGCATATGGCCCTTTATGTCATTCAAATACTCCGCTGGAGAATTGGAAAAACATTTAGAACACTGGGCTGTAAAAGTCACTGAGTGTCCCAAGCTTCATGAGCTGTTCTTGTGGGAATTTGGAAGGTAGTAAGGTTGAGTGAAATATGGCCTATGGAAGTCTGGCTTGTGAGATTTAAGAGGGAAGAAAATGTTGTGTTGAGAATATGTGTGTGCTGATGATCTGGGGCTAGAGTCAGCTGCGATTCACCAGGGACTAGCATGGCTGAAGAGAGTGGCTTTGGGCTTCGCTGTGCTGATAGGACACTGGTCACACTGGGCCTGGAAAACCAGAAGCAAGAAGAGATCAACACTGTTGAGCTGAAACCTGTGCTCCATTGGGACATTAGAAAGTGTTTCCTGGGGAGTTAATTCTCAGAAGCCAGGGCCCAAGGCTGCATCTGAAGCTGGTAGTCAATCTTGTCGACCTAAGAGTAATCCACATGACATTGTTCATGGAAGCATGGCAGATACAAGAGTGAGGGGTCCGTGTAAAGCAACTTACCTTTGGCACCTTGTGACAGCTTTGGAATCCCTACAGAGGCCTTTAGAGGTCATTGTTGGAGGTGAGGCTCCCATTGCCTTAGAGACCTCAGAGCTCGGGGGGGGGGGCATCTAACAAGGACAGCAGCTGATGTGAATTCCTGCTTAAGCCTGGAAGACATGCTGTGACAGAGCTGCAGAATATTGCAGGCATGCATTTTAGGGTTTGATAAGTAACATTTAAAACTCTCTGGAGTCTTAAATGATTTTTATTTTAATAATACAAATAAATCAGTTTTAATTTTGTTACTATTTTCTGATATTTTCCCATTATATCAATTATCGTCTCATGACTTTGCCCAAATGACTCATGAGAATTCAGTCTAAGGAAGAAAGAAATTGTCTCATGGTTTCAGATGGTTCATTTGTTAGGTTAGAACACGCAGGATATTTCAGTCTAACTGAAATGCCATCACTCCCTGCGTGCTTTAGTGATCCCTTAGGCATTTTAGCTCAATTAAAACCACCACAGGAAGCAATTCAAAGCAGGCTGGATCTCCAGTACAAAGACAAGGCAGACTTCAGAGGCTGCTCACCTTTCCCTCAGTTTGAGAGAATCTCTCTGACTTGATTGTGAGTTCATCCATGCCTTACAACAGTCTATTTCAAACCAGTTCATCTCTCTCTTTAGATAATGGATGACACAAAGGCTTTAGGGTAGTTGTCTTATCGCGGTGGCTAAAACTACATATTCACTATGCTAAGACCTGAAATCATCCTTGCATTATTAATGTGTCTGTAGATTATGAAAATCAAGATATACATGATTAAGTGTTAAAATAAACCTCAATTGTAGTTTTATTCATATAACATATTTCTAATTGAAGACAATGAAATAAAACTGTTTTTTACTAACAGAATTACTTTAACCAAGTTTGTTGGTGTCATAGCTCCAGCTAGGGGAGAGCTATTATCTAACCCTTAGTTACAAGGTACACAGTATTCTTCTTCTTTCCTTTCTCTCTTTTCCTTTTCCTTTTTTTTCCGTTTTGATTTTTCAACTGATTATAGACTGTGTGAATGTAGATGGTAATTAATTGAAGAGTTGTTTTCATTAAATATTTAAAAATGCTATTTTGACTTATATTCCTGGAACAATTATTTCTACTACTTGTGTATCTAAATACTGACAGTAATATACTCTGTTAATCATAATTTATGAAGGAAATAGAGGTGAGAGAGTTAATGGGATGTATTCCATAGCCAGTGTGTGCTATGATCTCTTAAAAGAGTCGAATGAACAAGGAAGCAATGATAACAGAGTACCGTAAGTGCCAGCTCATATGCACATTAGGACCACTGCGGGGAAGGACAGCCCTCCACTAATCAAAGTCTGACTTCTCCTAAAGAATTATGACATTTGAGATAGTTTCAGAAAGGTGGTGATGATTTGTCCAGAAAAAAATTATAAAGAGAGATGGGGAGAGGGGAGGACATTTGAAAGAGGCTGTGACTGCAGATAGATGGATGTCAAAGCATTGGGGTGCAGGAGAACACACAGTGTGAGGAATGGGGGACGGAGAAGTGGCGGTGGATCATTTGTCGAGGACATTATACAGGTTATTTTTTGCTTCATGACAAAGAGAATTGGTTTTCTAGGTGACTGGGTATTGCTTCCTTTGGAGAGTTTTAGCTATGTACGTCAGTGGGTTACCAAAATTATGGAGGACAAAAAGGCTCTGAGGCGGGGGCGGGGGCTGGGGTGGGAGCGGGGGGGCGGGGGGAGAGAAGAGAAATACTGTAGACAGAAGGACCACAGGAGCCATGCTTGGATGCATCAAAATATTAACTACCTCATCTACAGTAGAACACTGTATGAGTGCTTTTGTAAGAGAATAATATACATCTTTAACTCTTTTGTAATAAAAGCTATGGTTGAAAATATGCATTAACTCAACTTCCTCGAGTGATATGTTAAATGTTATTACTGACAAGCAAGTTTGTTCCTCTGAGACAATTTTATAAATGACTAGTGATTTACTGGCTCTAATACATTATATTATGTGCCAGAGGCTATCTGTTAGAATTCTGTAACATAGAGAAGAAATAGTAGTCCTTCCTTCACTTATTTAGAGTATCCTTCAACTCCACAGCATGAAATCTTTGATACTGAAAAGACATTTTTTCTTGATGTCAGATTGAATGCTGTATTTCTGTCTCTTAAATGTTTTACGAGCAAATTTTTAAAAGACAGACCGACAATACACATTTTTCCAGGTAAATGTTATCTATTTAAATAAAGCAATTCACTTTGCATATGTAGTTTAATTTTGAACATAAAATTGAAGGCAAGATTACGACAGGAAAATAGAGCCTGGAAACAGAAATATCCAAAACGGCCCTAGTAGCAGTAATAATGAGCTAGCTGGGAGTGCATCCCTACCTGGACTTCCTGTAATGAATGGCACGGGTTGAGAAAGCACTATATACAAACTTGGGAGAGGTAGGTGCTGTGTAAATGCGCAATAAAGCGCCAGATGTCTCATGGATCAATGTCTGGGCTTCATCCCTGAACTATTGAACCCACTTCTATTTTCAGGAGTGTGTTCCATTTCTTAATAAACTGTCCCTATTTCTAACTGCATGTTTCCACTGCAATCCTTTGTCCTGAGAAAAGGGACCTGGAGTGGGGTGCCATCTGACCAGTGACATGGTTTCCCTTTTTCATTTCTCTTTTTTCCCCATGGATAATAGTCCAAAGCCAAAGCATTTGTTCTCTGACACTCTTGGCTTTCTCACTGCTTCTCTGACTTCCATTCATGACTTTCTGTCTTTCCTGCTCAGCCTCCTTCCTCCAGCACCCATTTAGAATTACAGATTGCCCAATCCACTCTATTTCTTTCAAACTTTACTAAAATTGTCCTCAGCCTTCCTTCTAAGTATATGTATATAGACATATATGTGGATACATGTATAGTATTTATACATATATATGTACACACACACACACACACACACACACACACACACACACGTGTGTATGCCAAATGGGAAACTTGGCCTGTCTGGTAACAGTGTATAGAAACAACAACAACAACAACAACCCTTAATTAAAGGTCACCACACTTCAATAGAGGGAAAGTGTGATGGGGACTGGAGCTACAATGAATTATGTAGCTAATCTGATGCCAGAAATGGAACTGTAGCCACATGTCAGGACAGCTGGCCCAGTTAGTTCTACGTTTTCATAAAATGTCAACATTGACTTCCTGCACAAGTATTCTGAGGGATACAATGCATAGGAATGGATTCCATAGTCTTTATTGTATCCTACTTAACTGTAGTATCAGTAAGATGCATCACTTTATGTAGTTCAGTATCCTTGGCTACAATATTTGAAAATCAGAATGTCCAGTCTCCTCTCCACTTTTCAAAATCAAAAGGACAGCCATTCATAGAAATATTATGTTACTCAAAATTAAGTTTTCTTAATTTCATGGCATTGTTGCTTCTGGGAGGAGGAATTTAATTGAGTCACTGTTATTTATCCAAAAATTCAAATAGAAAAGTTTTTTTTTCTGAAAGGATTTTATTGAGTACAGAAGCCATTATTTTAAAAGTTTACCAAATTATATCCATACCTCTGTGTGTGCATAACAATTACTAGCTGGAAAGGCATCTTCTAGAGGTGTTCTCTTCTCAACTGGAGTCCTTATAATCTACTTTGGAGGGTAGTGGCATTGGTATAATGCATATTAATTGGCTGTTACAGAGACTTGCTTATTGATTACATATCAAGATGTTTTAAAAGACTCAGGATTCTGCAAATCAATATTTGGCTCCTCTGGTATTGGTCAAACCTGTAAATTTACTGGAGTAGGAAGAAGCCAATCAATCCTTTATATAATTTATTTTGGGGAAATGGTGAAATATATATCTAGATCCAAGTAGTCTTAAATATTCATTAAAACCTGAGTTCTCTGTTGAGATAGAGGCTTGGTTAGGAATGGACAAAAATGTAAGAGACCCTGGAAAAATACCATTGATCTCTGAATCCCCATGTAATCAATATTTACTAGTTATAGAGTGTGTTTAGGAAATAAAACACATAAGTGATATGTTAGTCACCAAGATATGAGGACATGACACCATTCACATCCAGAGGTGTTGAGATTAGATTCTGGGTAATTCATTCATTACATTAACTGATATTGACAGCTGTTGGTGAGGGCTCCTGCAAATATTGTCAAACATGAAGGTCAGGTCATATGGACTGGCCTTTTGATGAAGTAACAGCTCACAAAACTGCTTTTAACTAGTCTTTATTTTCACAAACTTCTGGGTAGATTATGTAACAGGGTGTTACAAAACTCATGTGAACTTTTATGAGTACAAACGTCAAATCAAATACAGGTTTTCATTAGTTGTGTAAATTTTTACCTGCCAAAAATAAAAATTAAAAAAAAAAGAACTCAGTCCAACAAATGAGATGCAGTAAAAAAATGAAGTATTTATTCTTTTGGCTCAATAATGAAGTAGCTCACCATTCTTTTAGTAGTAGCAATTCCCTGCATGCAGTTCATCAGTATACTACAGTAAATAGTTTTGTAAAAGGAATGAACATCAGACTTTTGGTTTGTGCAAAAAAAATTATGTTAAGTAATTGCACAACTTTGCCACTTTGTTCCTGGCTAAAAAGGACAGAGCCCATGTTATATCCATGATAGCTTTAGTGCAGCAGGATTTTAAAAAAATAAGCCTAGTCTGCATATGCAAATACTACAAAAGTTGAGTTAAAAAAAACAAACTTCCATGAGTGGAGGATTATCTGCAGGCAACCAGAGTTGATAGAAAATGAGGGTTTGAGATTTTTGACCAACATATCTCTTATCAGAATGGTAGAAAATATATTATAACAAAGAAATCCACAAAACCCATTGTCTAACTTTTATTTTAGGAAATTATCTGCTGAAAAGTCTTTTGGATTCAAAAATTTGGAATTTTGATTAAAAATAAAAAGAAAAAGGATAAGGTAAAATAAATAGCCATGTCATCAACTTGAAAATAATTTTCTTATGTACAGATGCTGACAAAGAAAACTGATTATATTTTACATTATTTATATTTAAACAAATTTTGGACTTTTTTTTAGCAAACTATAAAGTATATGTTTTAATGATAGGCCCTATAAGTGTGTCTCATTTAAGTTAATAAAGACACATTGTGATACTCAAGTTGATTTAACAATGCAAAAATAAAGGTGTTTTAAAATAACCTCAATGAGATTTTCTTGACAGGTTGACAGAGAGCAGTTTGAATTCATTCTACCACCAACATGTGACTCTCCTTACCAAAACTTGTGATAAATGGATTGATTAAAATAGAGCAGCTTAGGCAATATTAACATGCATTAGTGATAGCCTTCCAACTATTTCTGTGTGATGAATGGTACAGGATACTGCCCTGTTGGAAGTTTGCAAAAGACACATACACTGTGGTACATATTTGATTTAATAGAAGTCGTGTATTAGGCTATATATACGTTTATATATATTTGCCCAAACATGCACCACAGGATAAAATAACTATTTACATAACAGAGGGTGTTTAATTGACACAAACTGTCAGTTTTGCTGAGAGCAGAAGATGGCAAAGAAATCCTGCCACAGGAAGTGAAACAACTGTTCTAAAGTGATACTTTGGATAGATTTGTTTTCTAGAAAAGAAATATTAAATAACTTTTTGGGGGGAGGGGCATTTAACCAAACTTAAATATAGAACTCTGAAACTTAGAATAAAATTTGTACTTGTTGAAACAAAATATTTTGCATAAAAATAATCCTTTACATATTAGTGGAGACTTTTACAGGCACATAACTGTTCATAACATAACAGACTTAAAATTCTTGTAAGTTAATACCATCCAGAAAGCAGAAGTATTTGAAACTGAAAGCATTAGAATCTTTTTTGCTTTTAATTTTGAGCAATAATTTCATCTCTCAGGCAAAATATTTTTTTACGATTACTGGAGACACTTGTGGACTTCGGAACACAGGATTCTTATATATATATATTTTTTTTTTCCCTTAACATAAACCACACTTACAAAAATAGTGACATAGTATTATGAACAGACTATGAATCAGGGACCAGGAAGACCCACTGGGAGAGATTTTGTAAAAATATGGCAAATGTGAATGTTAAAAATAGAGTGGATGGGAGTGTTGTACTAGCGGTGTTTGGTGGTGTTATAGTGGTCACTTTCACAATGGAGTTCTCCTCAGCAGTGTCAGCTGGTAATGGGAGAAGCAACCTCTTGTCAATGTTGATACCCTGTCTCACAGAGTGGCAGTGACAGAGGCCACTGTCTGGTATAGGCACTGACCTTCAGTATTTGTTGAAACAGTCAGTTTGGCATGGACCTCTCCTTGGAGTCCAGTTGACACGTACATACATTTTACCTTCAGAGGCTGTAAACAATTGATTACAAAGACATTTCTTTGTTTCTTTTTACTTTTGACTTTCTCTGACCTCTTTCCCTTTGCTTTCTTTTTCTGGTTTGTCTTTCTCAAACTTTTCCTTATCTGGCTTTGTCACACTATCATAGGAAGGAGGAGAGGTGGTAGACGAACTTCCGTCTGTCTTTTCTGGGGTGGAATTCCCATTTAATTTGTCAATAACCATATCTCCTTTTATAGGCAAGTCAATCCTCCCCTTGATTGTCTCTTTGTCATATTTACTTGATATGTTTTTTAACCTTTGCTTTAAAAGATAACATCTGTAGTTGCGCTGAATGATAGCAGCGGACACCTCCTCTTGTTTGCGTTTCAAAGTGGTGGTGATGGGTTCATAAGAGACTTTGGAGGGGTTGGAAGCCATAAACCGATCTTCCATCTGGATTCGAAGGGCATCCATCTCTCCACTCTCACCCAGGACCCGCTTTGTAAAAGCAAATAAGATGTCCAGGCAGTGGATGCGGTCTCCACTCACCATGGGCAGATCCATGGCAATGAGCTGGACTTTGTTTGGCTTTGCGATGAGAAGGGGAGGATCCAGGGCAGCCGCAAAGTCCGACAGCTTGCAGAACTCTATGAACTGAGTGGCATCAGGGTCGAACTTCTCCCAGACCTCATAGAACATCTCAAAGTCGTCCTCACTCAGGGGCTCTGCACTTTCTTCAGTGGCAACGCTGAAGTTCTCCAGGATGACGGCGATGTACATGTTCACCACAACCAGGAAGGATATGATGATGTAGCTGACAAAAAAGAAAATCCCCACGGATGGGTTCCCACAGTCGCCCTTCACTGAGCTTCCGGGGTGAATTGCATCGGGGTCACAGTCGGGAGGGGCACTGTTGAGGATTGGAGCCAGAAGCCCGTCCCAGCCTGCGGAAGTGGTGATTTGGAACAGGCAGATCATGCTGTTGCCGAAGGTCTCAAAGTTGAACATGTCATCAATCCCAGCTTCCTTCTTAACGTAGGCAAAGTTGGACATCCCAAAGATGGCGTAGATGAACATGACCAGGAAAAGCAGGAGGCCGATGTTGAACAGAGCAGGGAGAGACATCATCAGAGCAAAAAGCAAGGTGCGGATCCCCTTGGCGCCTTTGATCAGGCGTAGGATTCGGCCGATCCTGGCCAGGCGGATGACTCGGAAGAGGGTAGGGGACACAAAGTACTTCTCTATCAGCTCGGCGAGAAACATTCCTGTGAAAAAGTATACAGAAGACTGATGAACAGTGAGTATATAGCTCTTCATAGGAATATCGTGTGTGTGAGCATCCTGGTGTTTTTTTTTTTGTTTTTGTTTTTGTTTTTTGTTTTTTTTTTGACAGGGTTCTCTGTGTAGTCCTAGCTGTCCTGGAACTCTCTTTTAGACCAGGCTGGCTTCAAACTCAGAGATCCTCCTTCCTCTGCCTCCTGAGTTCTAGGATTAAAGGTGTGCACCACCAACACCTCTTTTTTTGTGTATGTCTAATTTACAAAATAATCTTATAAAAAACTTACCGTAACTCCATCCTTGAATCCACTCTAATACTGACATTTAGAGTTTTAGCCAATGATTCTATAACATTATAAAGCAATGTGGATTTTTGTGAAATCCAAAATAATATAAAATATTACTATGCCAATTTATTGTTAGACTTCCCTGTTATTATGCTCGCTACTATACATGGAATATGGCAACTAGAAATAAAGGTTAATTCTGAAATAACTCATTGTTTTCATTGAGAATGAAAATCTTTAGTTTGAGAAAAGTGGACCATATCAGACCTATAGTTTCTCAATGGAAGAGTTTATAATATCCTCATTTCTTCTTTCTGCCTGTCAAAACCCCACCCCTTCTTGCAAGAGCCAATGTCAAATGTCATTACTCTTTCTTCTGAAAGAGTGATAAATGTTTTGGGCAGTGTTGGCTATTTCTTATTGATTTTTTTGTTTTGTTTTGTACTATACTGTTTGAATGAGAATGGTCCTATGGTCCTATGTTTGAATGCTTGGTCCCAAGTTTGTGGAACTTTTTGGGAAGAATTAGGAGGTGTGGGCTTGTTGCAGTAGTATGAACTTGTTGGAGTAGGTGTAGTTTTGTTGTAGTAAATATGAGCCTTGTTGGAGTAGGGATGGCCTTTTTGGAGTAGATGTGGCCTTTTTGAAGTAGGTGTGGCTTTGTTGGAGTGGGTGTGTCATTGGGAGTAGGCTTTGAGGTTTTGAAAGCCCATGCCACACCCAGTCTCTCTCCCTCTCTCTGCCTGCTGCCTGAGGATCATCAAGTTGTAAAGCTCTCAGCTACTGCTCCAGTGCCATTCCTGCCAGGTGACCATAGACTAGCCCTCTAAAACTATAAGCAAGCCCCTCATTAAATGCTTTCTCTTTAAAGATTTGCCATCTTATCTTCACAGCAGTAAGGCAGTGAGCAAGACAAGTACTAACACCGCTGTGTTATGATGATGTGTTTTAAAGACATGTGCCTCACTCCTAAGCCTGACTATTTACCTCTAGCAGAATGTTGTGGTTTGAGTGTTAGTCATTTTGCATAGGCTCAAGTGTTTGGACCTTTGCCATGCTACTGGTGGTGGTGTTTTCGAAAGTTGTGGTGGAACCTTCAGGAGGTGAAGCCTTATTGGGGGGGGGCAGGGCCTAACATTTTATAACACAGATCAATTTCCTGTTGTCATTCTCCTTCCCAAATGCAGGATCACCTTAACCAACTGCACCTTGTGTACCACGCCAGGCTTCCCACACCAGGATGGAGTGTATCCCTATGATTCTGAGCCAGAATCTGCCCTTCCTTGGCTTCTTGGTTGTTCTGTCACAACGAGAAAGGTGAGTAGTACGAAGAGGCTATACTGATTTGTTTTCTGTTTTCTTCACCTGTTCCCACAATCCAGTACTAACACTTTAATTCCTAACCAGTTAACTTTGTGAATAAACTCAAGTTTCAAAATTTTATTCAAATGTGTTGACATTGAAATTTTCACTCTGAACACTCAGTCTCCAAATGCATTTCTATGTCAAACTGCTGACAGAATTTGGGGACAAAGGTTTCTAGAAGTCCATGTCTCTGTGATGGAAGTATTCTTACCTACAATTGAGAGAATCACCACCACAAAGTCAAAGATGTTCCAACCGATAGTGAAATAGTAGTATCTGAGAGAGATGAGCTTCAGCACAAACTCCCCAGTGAACAGGACTATGAACACCAGGTTGATTCGGGATAAGACCAGGGTCATGTATTTGCTCTGGTCATCAGTTTCCACCATCATGGTGACCATGTTGAGGCAGATGAGGATCATGATGCTGATGTCAAAGACTTGCCTGGTTACAAAATCAAAGACCATCCCTTGAAATTTGTTCTAGAATGAAAGGGGAGATAGAGTTAGTGTACACATTGCACAAATACATTGCAAATTCACACATAGCCCTCGGGTATGCACCCTCCTTACAATACCTAAGCTCTATTTTACTTCCTATTGTTTTTCTAAATGAAAGGTCTCATACCACATGCCAATAACAAACATACTTGGTTTATTTGGGTCTCATAGGAAGACAGAGCTGAATATGCCAGAAACTGGTGTAAATTGACTGAAAATATGTAGAGGCTGTTTGGTTAACTATGATAATTTTTATGTAAATTATTTCAATCAGCAGTGAAGACTTAAGATAAGGTAAATACAGACTTTCAGATGAATAATCTTCATTTATCAATATTTTGAGAATTTTCTGTTATTCCTTATTTTCTTCACTCAAATGATGTTAGTTATACTTATGTAATTCTATTTCTGTATTTGTTAATCTGTCTGTTTTCCCCATCATATTTTCCTATTTTTGCTTCAACAAACAATGCATGAAAGGACTACAAAGATGGCTCGGTAGCTAAGAGCACTGGCTGTTTTTCCAGAGGACCCATGTTCAATTCCCAGCACTCACATGGTGGCTCATAACTCTTGGTAACTTTAGTTCCAGGGTATCTGATTCTCTTTTCTGGATTTCATGGGTACAGGCAGACACATGGTTTACAGACATATGTATAAATGAAATACCCTTCCACAAGTAGCATCTTAAAAATGCATGAAAAACTCTTGTCTAACTAATACCCGTCTCAGGAAACATGCTTTTAGAGTCCAAATGTAAATCCAAATGTAAATATGGTTTTATTACATAACTAAAAGTAATTTATAATAAACACATAAAGTACCATGCTTATGAAAAAATTTCAAGGTAATAAACGAAGCTGTTCCAGATATCAGTCAGTGACGTTGGTGAAGCAGGTTAACTAATTTCTTTCTGTGTTCAGTGTCTTTCCATCCTTCCTTATATTATATCTCCCAGTTTCAATTACTTTTAAATGCATAATATGATGTTACTGATAGGGTTCATGAAACTTTTCAGTTGTGAGTTTTGCTGATCACAGGCTTTGTAGTCAGGGATACAGTTACCTTTATGGGCTTCAGTTGCCTTATGTTCTACCTGTCTCAGAGGGCAGATGAGTTAGGGTATAGCTCTGGGAGCACGGAGTATGTATTTGAAGGATTTTTATTCTTTTTTGGTAAAATAAAAATTTTGAGACATGTTTTCTTTCTAAGCAAGTTGGGAGTATTTTCTTGTCTGAAGAGTGAGAGAACCCAAAAAGACACCTGATTTTCTTATTGAAGAACCTAAATTTAATATGTATTAAGTTATAGATAATATGGAGAGAGACTATCATGAATATAGATAGGGGAGCATGAGAAAGGAAAGAATTCAAGAGGTTGGGGAGGGAGCTATGGGGTGAGTGTGATGTGAAAACAGAGGTTACCATTACATGGGGAGGGGAGAGCAACTGGAATGAGGGTTCAGAGGAAGTAAGGGAGGGCAGTAGGAGAGAGAAGGTATAACAAAGCCCAATGATACATACACATGAAAATGCTGTTAAGAGTTTGTTTACTTTGTGTGTTACCTTAAGAGACAACAACAAAGGAGGAAAAGGTAAAATAAGATTTATGCTAGGGAGGGAAAAAAGAGAGGAGGAGACAAGAGAATAAAGAAAGGGAGTGGGGATGGGGTGCGGTGGGCCATCTGGGAACCTCCATCTATGTACAAAGACAAACGTTAACAAGGCCAGAGGAAGAGCAACCAGGCATGCTGGCAGCAGGAGAGTGAATCTGGATTTGGGGCCAGTTCTTGGGAATTCTTGAGTTGAAAATCCCAAGTCACTATCAAGAACATTCCAGAATTTTAGGAACTTGATACTTTTTACTGATTTGGCATCTGTAGATGGTGAAGAGTGCTATAGATTGGTGATATCACCCTATATGTGCTGATCCAGACACTACAATTGAAACACTGTCTTAGAATCTTAAGGAATACAAGATATCCTTCTTACTGAAGGCCGAGGGATGGGCTTCTGGGGTTTTTTGGAGCCAAGTTTCTTCATTGCATTGTAATATTTTTTCTGTTCTTCTGTCATAAAGATGTCTTGACCTCCAAAGTAAATACACAGAAAAGCCTGGTTACAATCCCAACCTCTGTTACAACAGTATTTTAGCAAAAGTATTTCTGAATCTTCCTTTAATCTTTTCTCAATTTTAAGTGGATTTTATCTTGCTAAATACAGATTGATTATTCTGCTTCCTCCATTTATGTGAAATACTGCAGACTTAATATTATGCAAAGCCCATAAGCATATAAAATTCTGATTAGCACAGCATCCTAATTGGATTATATTGTGTTCACAATGAATTTTAAGGTCCTCAAATATATCTTCGTGGAGCCAAATATCTTTTCCTCCTCCTTTACTGTTGATAGTTTTACTGCTGTATCCAACAATTTTGAGCACTTTTTTGTGTTAAACAACGTGACTGGTATGGAAATTACATAGGTACATAACACAGTGTCATGCTCCATAAGTGGGTAGAGTATTAAAAAGGAATGTGGAAAAAGGTGCAATAGTATACAAAGGGAGAGAAAGGAAGACAAAAAGGAGCAAGCAAATGAATAGGAAGTAGGAAGAAAAGTTATTGTAGACACAACGGCAAATTGAGAGAGTAAGGCTTAAGCTTAAGGCTTTAAAGGATAATAAAGAGTTTGCTGGGCAACGCATCTCAGGAAAAGAAAATATCAGCTATAAAGCTACGGAGAAACCAGTGTGTGTCTGAGTTCATAAAAGGTCAGGAAGATTCATGCAGTTGCCTTCTAACAAGTCCAGTTGATGATGCCCTTGGATGAGGGAATGAGTAGGTAACAGACCATTGGATAAAAACAAGCTATGGGAAATGATGAGGCTGAGATATTTGTGAGGGCGATTCCTGAAAGATCCCATTAGCCATGCTAAGTGCTGCATAGCCATTGGATGTCCCAAGGTAATGGTGATATTTCTGGGTCAGAAAGACAGCTGCACACAGGATGTAAGGAGAGAAGCTGCTGAATAGGGACTGTAGCTTAACTGGCCACGGAGTAATAATAATAAATTTCACAGAGTGAAAATAATGTAAATACAATCTAAGTATGTCATGATTGGCTGTGTGGCATACAGGTCTCCGAGCAGGGACAGGTGAGATGTGGAAGATACTTATCTTTTTCTTTTGCTGGTTGAAGTTGTCTATGATGACACCGATGAATAGATTTAAAGTGAAGAATGATCCAAAGATGATAAAGATGACAAAGTATAAATACATATACAGATTTTCTTCATATACAGGCTGAAGTTTGACCTAACAATAGTGAAAATATTGAATACTATTATCAACATGGACACTTGGACTAAATACTGTAGTGAGTGCTGTTATGTCATATGAACTCGTTTTATCATGCCTTCTTTACAAAAATAATTATTTTCTCACACTAGAACAACATTTGAAAATTTAACTTTTGAAACCCAACAAGTTTTTCCACTGTAGCCTCCTTTCCAGATATTCCTCAGCACAAATAACACTGATATAAATGCAGCTAAAGGTTTGCTGCATTATCATATCATCATCATCATCATCATTATTATTATTCCAACATTTTTTGTAATATCTTCAGTTTGTGTTTGAAAAAGTTTTAATAGCAGAAAATCAACTGAGAGGAAAATATAGAATAAACCAATTTTTTTTTATTTCTACTTTTGAGATTGAGTTTCCTTGATGTCCACTCGCTTGTCTGTGCTGTGATCTTCATGGAAGCTGCCTACCAGACTGACTGATCATGGTCTCTAGAGAAACAGGAAAACAAGTGCCTCCTGTGCCAAGCTACCTTCCTACTTGGAATAGTTCTATTTGCAGGACTAATCTCATCCTTCATGAAATTGACAACTTTTCAGAGTAGACATATTATCTATTACATATCATACCTACAGTAACCAAACTACTATCCACACATAAACACCCTGTCTTAAAACTATCATTTCTACTTGCATTGGTAGAGGCTTTGATTTTACGCACTATAGATTTCTGGGTCTTTTAGTTCAATTCTCACCAATGTCTTCCATGGACAATCTATTAGTTACAAAGAGTGTCTGAGAGCTACTTACATCCCGTGAATCAACAGCTGCATACATAATATCCATCCATCCTTTGAATGTGGCCTGTACACAATACATATTAGAATTATTTATGAATATCTCACTTAAATTTATTGTGTTTAGCAGACATAAATACAACAGCATTGTTATAAGTATCTCTTCATATATCATCATGACATTCTCTACTCATGGGTTGAAATGAGTCAAATGGGGCGTTATTCAGCAAATCCCTACCAATAAATATCAAAATTTGTGTTTAGAGTTTAGAATTTGTTTTCTTTTCTTCTGCTAGGAGCAGTTTTATAATTATATGTTTTTGGTTTTCTATAGCAAAACATAACTGGAGACTTGATTAATGAAAATTAATCTCATCTTAATTCCTTCCAACAAAATCTGTGATTGAAGCCTAGGCTTGTATTCAAACACCACTCATTTTCACTAATAGCTGATTAGCAACTGTCACGAGGTTAAAAAATAAACATTAAATATTTTGCAAGGTATCCCTTGAGAGTTGCATTTCAGCATGTACAAAATAGCATCATATTATTTTAGACATTGCTTGGCTAAAAATTCATACATTTAATTCACAAATACAATATATAATCAATATTTCAATTTACACATTTTTATATCAATTAAAAAATTGAAATAATGGTCAGTGGAATAAACAGAAACATACAGGAAGAAGAAATAAGAAATCCTGTGAAATCATTAAAAAAACTGTACTCCTGGAGGGAAATAAAATAATTATATTTTTTTCTTCACAGTCAAATAACTAATTTGAGGTGTCAACTACCTTCTTACTTTATGAATTATTCAGAGAACATCACAGAAGGTCTTAGGTGGCACACTTTGAAAAGTTTTAGGTTCATAAAGTAGCCACTTACCACTTGCAGCAATGCCAAGTAGCCTGCCCCAACATTGTCAAAGTTGACTTTCACGTTTTTCCACCGGGCTTGCTTGCCAAGAGCCTGACAATCACTGAAATTGTTGACTTCTCTCATATCAAACATGCTGCCTGTGGTCATGTTCACACAGTGGTAGAATTTTCCAGCAAACAGATTCACACCCATGATACTAAAGATCAACCAGAAGATGAGACACACCAGTAGTACATTCATGATGGAGGGGATTGCGCCAACAAGAGCGTTCACAACCACCTGTGGGAGACAGGAGAGCCATGACTTACTAAAGTGGAAGCCATTGCCGATGTATGTTCTCTCTGCACTGAGACACGTTTGGAAGGGGCTAAGTGGGCATCTAGGTATACTTCAAGCTCTAGAATGTTTCTTCTACTATTTTCTACTGCATAATGACAAGGGGAGGCAAACAACAATACAGCTAAAGAGCTAAGCAAGAAAGGAGATCAAAACACAACAAACTGAAAAGAAATGAATAAAACCTGATAGAGTAAGATGGGGTCAGAAAAGGCACACTGAGGAAAAAGTGCTGAGGGAGAAATATGAATCAAATGTCAACAGTCGTAATCATTTGTGGTAACATCTAATTTTTGTGAACATGAGTGAATTAATGATGCTTTGAAAGAAGAACACACCCCTTCACAAAGCATGTCAAAGGCATAAAATCTGTGTCCTCAGGTCAGGTAAGCCAGCATCAAACTGATGTCCAGACCCAACTGTTGAAGACAACACCTACACAACTCACTGAACAAGGAGAAGTAAAGCTGGTGCCTATCCAGAGCCTTCACACCCATGTGCTAGCATCTTTGGTACAGGAAGGTACTCTTCAGGCTACCAAAGGAGAATTGTAAACACCAACCCAGCTACAAACCTTTTGACCTACAATGGTGTCCTGCCTGTAAGTTATGCTACAGCAATGGTGGCACAAATTTTGTGGAAATAACCAACCAATATCTGATTTGACTTAAGGCCCACTCCACAAGATGGAACCCATATCCAACACTGCTTAGGTGACCAAGAACCTGAGACAAGATAACCAAGAGACCTCGCATAAAAACCAAACAATAGTGTTCTAAACAAAACAACAACTGCACAGCAATAAGTTGACATTCAGCAACACTCATAGATCACTGCCGTTCTCAGCCATTATGAGAGAAGTGCCTCTCTTCAGCAGACAGGAACAAAGACAGAGACCCACTGCCAGACACTGTCCAGAGAATAAGAGACCTTGGAACACACACTCAGCCCTGAATGGGATGTCTCCATCAAGTCCCTTCCGCCAGGGATCAGGGAACCCTGCAGAAGAGGAGGCAGAAAGACAGAGTGGATGGAGGACATCATGTAAACAAGACCCTCTCTAAATCAACGGGATCAATATGAAGACATGACCTCACAGAGACCGAGGCAGCATGCATAGGGTCCGCATGGGTCTGCACCCAATGGGGTCTTAGAACTGAAAGGAGAGGTGGACACATGGCCTCATCCCTATCCCAGAAGCTATCTCCAACTGATAACCACTTGCAAATGAAAATCTAGTTTTCTCCTAGGGACTATCACTGGGAAACAAACTACTCTTAAGTGTAAGTGGCATGCCTAGCAGTAGATGGCCACCAGAAAATGAATTCAACAGCATTTTTGGAGGTTCCTTGTCTTATCATGTTGTGTCAGGACATTTTTTTGTTTTAATTTTATCTTATTTTTAATATGTATATATAATATATATTATATATACATAGACACACATACAGTATTTTGGGCTCACCCTTACATATATATATGAATATATATACATATATGTATATTCTCTCTTTTTAGTCTATAGGTCCTTCATGTATATATTATGGCTTCCTGTTTAGTGTGTTTATGGATTCCTGAGTGTACAAATGAGTGGGTCTCTGCGACCGTATTTGTTTCTTGAACTCTTTCTTTTTGTTTGTTTTGTCTTATTCCGACATTTTATGTTTTTGTTTTCTGTCTTATTTCATCATTGTCCCTTAGAAGCCTGCTTGTTTTCTAATGACAGACAGAAAGGGGGTGTATCCAGGTGGGAGGTGGGGGAGGGGGAACTGGGCAGAGGAGAGGGAGGGGGAACTGTGATTAGGACATATTATATGAGGGAAAAATGTACTTTCAATAACCAATAAAATACAATAAACCATCAACATGAAGCCACAAAGCATGGTGAGGACTGAGATGATGTCAGCAGTAGAAGAAGATTATTATTTAGAACAGATTTTTATGAATTTGTTAACATAAGCAATGAAATAGAATTTGTGACAGGCAAGCCAAGCGTGTCTCTGCTCACAGTGCTGCGAGAGCAGCTGGAGGGTGGTTTCATTTTCCACGATGAGTAAATTTTGCAGTCAAGGCTGAAGGGGTTTATTGCCCCAAACAAACCACCTCCTAACATAAAAACCCCATGGCCTTGAAGAAATTCAATATCCGTGTGTGCATTTGCAGAGCACATTAAACAAAGCTGGCCTTTGTGCAAAGCAGTTCTGAAGGCGTGGCTGCTGAGCATTTTCTGTGCTGAGACAAGATACGAAGGAAGAGAGCAGGGGAGGACCAGGCTGGTGCTGTGGAAAAACTGAACCTCACTCGTGACGTGTGCTTAGAAGATCAGCGAAGCGAAGCCGACTCCATAGAAATAGGAAGCTAATTGCCCTAGCAGCTTGCTTTGGATGTGAGGGATGCACCAGTTTTGCTGGGTGCTAGGATTTACACTAATTCAAGAAATAAAGCATTGCCCTTTTTTTTGAATATTATTGATACCTTTTGAGGACTCAAACTTACCTACTAAAGGCCTTGATAAGATGAATGTAGTCAAAAGTAATTCCAAAGTGCCTGAGCAATGAAAATAATAGCAGCATGTGGAGATTGTGGTGTGTGTGTGTGTGTGTGTGTGTGTGTGTGTGTTTGTGTTGGGACACAGGGGAGGGGGATGGGTCTGAACTGAACTCAAGCCCCAGATGCTGGTATTTGCTCTGTCTCAGCTTCTGAGTGTGTGTTTAAATAAACTCCAATTTCCAGAAGAAAGGCTTGCTCTTTCCGACAGTGTTAGCCCTGAATTATCTAATTCTGTGGAGACTACTATGTCTGTGAGTCACTGGCTGCATGTAACTCTGAGTTGTAGAGCGCATCATCAAGTCCTCTTACCCTCATGCCTTCAAATCGGGACAAGGCTCGGAGAGGCCTCAGAGCTCTCAGGGTCCGTAGGGATTTGATGGCACCAAGTTCTGAGTAACCAAGAGCAGTGGCTACCAGGCTAACCAAAGAAACCTGTAGATGGAAAAATAAACTGTTAATATACCACCAAATCAACTATTAGATAAAGGCACAACATGTACTGTCCATTCTCGAGTGACTGCCAATTAAAACGTGATGACAACTCTTCCAGCTTCATCTTCCTTAGCATCTGATGGCTGCCTGTCTTATCCCTAGTTGTGTTTTCAGTACCAGTAAAATGTGCTACTTGCTCAGACTTGTTAATGCTTAGAGGGATGTTATGCCCCAGGCTTCTTTGCAAAGTATGTGTACTTTTACCCCTGATAATCCAGGGCTCAGTTCAAAAGCACAATCCCTTTGTTTAACACTGCCAAATAAAACTTAGACTCCTCTCCTGAATTGTATGATGTATTGTGAATCCTAGAGACATTTGCCAGGTACAAGGGCTGGTCAGCTGGTTAGGTATTTAATCTCTCCTTCCATATCACATAAGCTTGTATCAGGTGGGTGTAAAACTCTGTTCTTATCATACATAATATGGTCTGGTTAGATATACATCAGTGAAGCCATTGTCTCCTCATTGGATAATTTAGCATAACATTTGTAAAATTCAAAACGACAATGCATTGGATTAATAAGGAGACAATGTATCTGAAAACATTTTTTCAGAAGTGGATTTTTGATAACACAACACTTCTTACTCACAGTGACCACACTTCTTTCTGATACTCGTAATTAAGTTGAATTTTAGTTAAGTATATGCAACATTTAATAACACACATCTTTTTGGGGGTAGGAAAAGTAATTTGGCTTGATATTCTTTCCATATACTTTGAGGCCTTCATCCACAAGTCTCCAGAAGTAGGTACCACCATTGTCACCTACGTATTGGTGAGGAAGCTGAGCATCATTGTGAACACATACATCCTGATAAAACGTAAGATACAGGAAGGAAGGAAGAGAAAGAAAAAGAGAAAAAGATGTGCTGGAGAAATGGCTCAGCAGTTAAGAGCACAGGCTATTCTTCTAGGGGACCTGAGTTCAATTTCTAGCACCTACACCACAGCTCACAACCATCTGTAACTTCAGATCCAGGCGATTTAATGCCCTCTTCTAGCCTCCTGAGGGTACCAGGCATGTGTGTGGTAAACATGTAGACAGAACACCCATACTTCAGAGAAAGCAAGAAAAACAGAATCCACATCTAGAAAGAGGTGGAGTTGGAGGAGGCTGCAAGTCAAAACATTTTACTTAAAATCATATTTCAACTTTTACATCCACATTAAAAAAATGAGCTCCTTATCAGAATCACAGATGATACACAATGACCTCAATGACTACTTTCTCATTCCTTGTATGAGTAACACATTACAGTTCTTTTTTTTTTTGAGAGACATTGATTTGTTACATTAATTAAATGGCTTAAGGGCATAAGAGTTTAATTTTATGTGTAAAAAGCTATTGGGAGACGAATTGAATTTTCCCTGTGATACTCTGTGGCAAGATGGAGTCAATGATCTACTCAAACACACAAGGCATCAAGGGTGACATAAGGACTTTAAGAGCAAATGTAACCACTGTCCCCTCCTTGATTGATTTACCATTAACTCACACATAAAGTCTAAGAGAATAATAAATTACTTGAATGTTAAATTTGATCAGTGACAAGATTATTTATGAAGCTCTTTATTTGTGTCTTGGGTTTACTCCTACGGAAGACCAGGGAGTTTGGAAAGGCTATTAGTGAACTCATCGGCTTCTATGGTCTCCACTCCTTTACCTCAGGAGACATTAACAGCTTCTTAATTTTTCTTCTGAAGTTAGCATCTGAAGACTTCTTATCCTCATAACCAAGTCCTTTATTCAAAACTAAGGCTTTAAATGGAAGCGGCTGTACGTATCTCATGACTCTGTGTAGAACCAGTGGGTGCTGGGGAGGACAGGAAGTTTGGGTTTTAAAGGCAAGATGCATTACTGGCATTAGTTCACTCTGACCTGGAATGGCAATGTTGTCTGAGATGATGCTCTTAGTAAATCTGAGCCTCTAATGGAACTTAAGGGTTAGAGAACAAAATCTCAGACCTGTACCCAGCCACAATGTGAGCGGTGAAACTTGTTCATTTCCACATATATTTGTGTGTGTGTGTGTGTGTGTGTGTGTGTGTGTGTGTGAACTCTTAATGTGAATTTACAGGAACATGAGCACAGGCCATACCACACAGTAAGCCTCCATGGTAGAGGCTTTCTAGCGTTGTTAGCTGTGATCACACAGTTTTACACTTGTGTGTCAGTTGAGCATGAGAGACAAAGTCCTCTGGAAGGAGGGAACGATAGTTCTGAAGGACACCCCGAAGTCTGTGATCCATTAATGAACAATGCAGAATGAGTTAGTTTCCCTGCAAGACAGGTAAGCATAAATTCTTATATTTTTGGTTGTGAGCCTAGCCTTTAACAGCTGAGCCATCTCTCCAGCCCAAAATTCTTTTTTTTCTTTTATCATTTTTTATTTTAATTTTAAATAGCTTGTTTTACATGTCAAACCCAGTTCCCTCTCCCTCCCCTCCTCCCACACTCCCCTTCTCCCCCAGCCTCCCACTCTATTGCCAAATCCTTCCACATAGGGGATATCTAGAGTCTGTCATTTCACTCTGGGTAGGGTCCAGGCACTCCCCTAAGAGTCCAGGCTGAGAGTGCATCCCTCTTTGTGCTATGGGCACACGATGACTGTATTCCAGGGATAGGCACTGATCCACAGCTCAGGGCCCCATAGGTTGCCCAGGCCTTCTCGCTGACACTCACATTGGGGGAGTCCAGATCAGTCCCATGCTGGCCTCCCCGCTGTCAGTCTGGGGTCCAAGAGCTCTCCCCTGTTCAGATCAGCTGTCTCTGCTGGTTTTGCCAGCCCATTCTTTGCCAATTTGCTCATCACTCCTCTCTCTCTGTCACTGGGTTCCTTGGGTTCAGTTCAGTGCTTAATTGTGTATTTGCCTCTGTTTCCATTAATCACTGGATGAAGGCTCCCAGATGGTTATAGACATCAAGTTCATTATCAGGAATGCAGCCCGAAATTCTTAAGTTCACTATAAATGGTTAGTCGATTAAAACTGGGTGCATCACTTCCATATATTCTGATGATACACTTCAATCTAAAATGTCCTAATTTTAAAAATATATTTTAAAGTATATATTTAAAAATATATATAATTTAAAATTTATATATAATTTAATATATATGATTAGTATATGTATATATTAGACCTGTTAGAATGTTGTACAATGTATTTATGCCTTTTAATGGTAAAGTCAAGAAACATTTTTGTTGGAAATGGAATAACAGAATCTTCCCATCACTGATATCATTTTTTAACACTTTTTGGAAAATAAAATGAGTAATAAACAAAAGAGTAGGAGAAGTCATTGTAAGTATAGTGTCCAGACATGAGAAGAGCAAGCGAATCAGGAGGAAACCACTATGAAGAATAATATAATTACGTTAGGTAATTGATTTATTTTTTTCTACTAGCTTGCTAAAATTTTTATATAGGGAATGTGGGGATGTCGTGTTGGGGCTTGTCTGGAATGTTTTAACAGGGGATCCCAGTTCCTGGTACACCCTTGACTGAACACTGTTCCTCTTCTATTTGGGGAAGGTCATTCTCTTCCACCCACTGCACAGCTTGGGGAGGAAGGGAACAATTAAATAGCCAGCCAGATTAGTCACATCAAGCCTAGTGATCAATGTGGTGACAGTTATCACAGTCAGATTGTCCTCACACCCTGCAGGTGTGAGACTTTGAACTACTTAATTTTGATTAGTAGTAATTAAAAATAATGACTAATAAGGATGACTTACAAAATGTTTTGAGACAGGGTATGACGGTTAAAATGTCAACTTGACACAATCTAAAAATCACTTGGGAAGAGAGACTCCATGTGGAATTGTTGGAATTGGGTTGGCTTTCAGGCATGCTCTGAGAAATTTTTTTCTAATTGGGTTAGCTAAGGTGAGAAGACACCCATTGAAACGTGGGCTGCACTAATTCATGAACTGGTCCTGGGACCGAATGAATGCAAATGTTTGGGTGGTGTTATGTCACAAAGCAGGTCTCCCCAAAATGGCAGCTCTGCTACCAGTGCCCTAATATGATGGCCCAAACCAGGCTCATTCTTAGTGAGCAAACAGAAGAACTATTATCAGGTAAACAGAAACCTAAACTCAGTATTCCTTAGAAACCCTGTCATGGGGAGGAAACAAATCAATAAGCAGCAATGTTACAGGGCATCTGTGTCAGCTTCTGACTCCAGCCTTAAGTTCCAATGGTGGCCTCCTTATTAGCTGAACAGTAACACATGCAGACTCTTCCTAAACTCAAATTTTAACCTACCTTTTGAGTAAGTATTTACTTATGTTTCCTATCTGGATGAAATCACAAAAGAAAGGACAACGAACACACTAAGTTAATGCATGGTGGATCACAGAAAGCAGATGATGACTTCAAAGGAAAAAATGGCAGAGACCCACATGTCTATAGTAGGGAGAAAGCAGTTTGATGAACACTCAAAAGGCTCTGGACTACTAGGTTCCTTGAAAACAAGATTGAGCTACATAGAGACATCATTGCAAGTCTGTATACGGGAAGGCTGAATACTATTGCTTGCCTTCATCTATCCTGTCCAGCCATGTAAGAGAGAACAATGAAATGTTATCTCCACAGCCAAGAGTGAAATCTATACTTGTTCAAGAGCTCAGAGTGTAGATCCTTAATTCACACTGTTTGAGTTGTCCTGTCACACAACTAAAGCTTCTTCAATGCCTCATGCATTGATATATAAAAAACGGGAATAAAGGTGTGTGCCACCACCTAGCTTCTGACTGCTGGGATTAAAGGTGTGAGCTCTGTTACTCTTTTAGCCTGATTCAATTTCATGTAGCCCTGGGTAACCTTGAACTCAGAGAGATCCATCTGTCTTTGTCTCCTGAGTCTTGAGATTAAAAGTGTATACCACCACTGCCTGATCTCTATAGCTTGAGGTTGATTTTGCTTTCTGAATCC